GAGGAACGACTTAGGGAACTGGGTATGTTTAGCCTGGAGAAGAGACATGATCGACCTGTTTAAGTATTTGAAGGATGTCATATTGAGGAGGGAGCAAACTTGTTTTCTGATGCTCCAGAGAATAGGACCCAGAGAAATGGATGCCAAGTAGAGGGAAAGAGAGTCCAGCTCAACATTGGGAAGAACTTCTTGATGGCAAGAGCTGCTCAACAGTGGAAGACACTCCCGTGGAGACTGTGGTGGATTCTCCTTCTTTGGAGGTCTTTAATGGCCATCTGTCATGGATGCTTTGATTGTGAGTTCCTGCATGGCAGAATAGTGTTGGACTGGATGGCCCTTGGGGTCTCTCCCAACCAACTCTATGATTCTATGATGATTTTCATTTGGGCAATTAATGACACATCTTTACCCTTGGGAATCTTATCTGGTTTCTTTATGGCTGCCCTTCCAAGTCCTAGCCTTCTTCTCATTTCCTGACTGCAATTTTAGTCTCCATTTTAGTTAATGACTGAGCCAAGGTAGGGAAGATATTGAATTATTTCAATGCCTTCATCATCCAGCCCCCCCTCCCTTTTCCAAATTGTCAACCTGCTGATAACCAGAGCCCAGCATTTTACTTCACTGCCCCACGCTTCACCCCAAAACAGTATGGGACTTATTTTGCCCCAATATTCTCCAGTAGCAGAAGGCAATGGAGTTGCTGGCACATTATTTCATCCTTTGCCCCAAATGGCTTTTGTCTGCAAAAGGAACTTGCATGTGACCTTTTTTTAAAAAGAGGGTGTGTGAGAGAAAGAATGAAATGTGGCAGCACCTTTAAGACTAAATTATTTTTATTTTTGCATGAGCTTTCTTGGATGTAAACCACTTCTTCAGAGGCTTACAGAATGATGATGATGATGATGATGATGATGATGATGATGATGATGATAAATGCTCAGGTGTAAAGCATATTCATCCTATTGTATATAAGGGGACCCTGAAGGATGCAAATCCTGTCCCTGTCCCTGTCCCTACATTTTCAAATGGTCACCTTTCATAAGGTGATAACAGGTCTTTCAACAGTGGTCAGTGGGTGTGGATGTGTGAAAGCAATAATCTGCTTACCAAAAGTCAGTTTCCCAGGGTTGAAAACTCTCTCTGAAACGATTCCTTTGGTTATCTGTGCAAAAGCAAGGATGCTTATATTACTGTATGTATCTGGGCCATGAAGCTCCCTTGCCTTTGTTTCTATGCTTTATAACCTGGGGCTTTAATATCACTCTGTATCGCATCTGAGGAAGTGGGTTGATTTCTTGACTAGTGTCTCCACTTGATTAATGACTGAGCTAAGATATAGGGAGCATAGACCCTTACCTTTGCAGACTGCTAGAAATAGTGCAAATTGAGTCCACTTTAACTGCCCTGGCTCAGTGCTAGGGAATCATGGGATCTGTATTTTTTTTTCTGAGACATTGAGCCTTCTCTATCAGAGAGTTCTACTGCCACAACAAACTACAGTTCCCATGATTCCCTAGCACTGAGCCAGGACAGTTACAGTGGACTCAATTTGCACTATTTCTGGCATTGGAAGAAACCTCCAGGGCTATCCAGTGCAGCCTCCTTCTGCCATGCAGGAAGACACAATCAATGGCCACCCAGCCTCTGTTTTCAAACCTCCATAGGACCACACTCTGAGGCAGGCATGTCTTCCACGTTAGAACAGTTCTTACTGTCAGTATGGGGCTGTGCAGATTGCCCCCTGGAGTTGCGCATGCATGCGCATGTCTCAGGACGCCATTT